CCACGGGGAGGCGGGGGAGGGAGGCAGCCCCTCGACTAGCCGGGACACCCCGCCGCTTCCCCCCGCGCCTCTCCTCTCCACGGGTTCCCTTCATAGTTTCCGGCCCTCGCTGCTTCTCCCCGTCGGGGTCAGCACCAACCTGAGACTCCCGGGCCCTGCGGTTTGGGGAGGGCGCCGGTAGCCCGGCGAGTCTGATGAAGCGGGAGGTGGGGCAAGGGTAGCGGGGCCGGCACCGGTGAGAAGTTGAACCGGCGAGGAGAATCACAAGTGGGGTGCCTTGTCTAAAGAAACACTGCAAAGTGGCAAGTGTTTCTTGCTGGTGGTGCTACATGGAGGGCTGTTTCCCTTTGGATCTGAGTGAAGAAAAAGGGGAAATCAACAAAACTGTTGGAGAAGGAGTTGGTAGAAGAGAATACATCGAGACAAGTGTATTAATGTATTTTATTCTCCTTTTCCCCTCTCCTCATATTGTATCCATCCTGTTCTCTTTAACATCCCACTACTCTAAACTGATATTCCACTGTTGAAAACCTTATGCAGGTAGTTCTACCCCAGGATTTGTTAGAATGAAGTTGTCATTTATCTCTTTTCAACTATATTCAAACTATATTCAAGTATAATTCGACATTCTCCTTCGGAGCTAGCTGTCTTGGGTCTCTTGCAGTTGGATAGAAACCACAGCTTGGTTTCCCATTATTTATTACAACTCTTCAGTCTTGGGACAGACACTGTAGTTCCTCAATTCATCAACTCTTCATCTCAAAATGAAGGTGCTAATATGTCCCTTCCCTGTCCACCCCCTTTTCACTTTGGACACCAAATTCTTCAAGTCGAGAAATTTTACACATACCAAGTGATTCAGTAGACTCCTGTACAAAAATACAGACACCTATAGAAATGTAAATTTATGTATCTTCAAATCAAAATCGTTCCATTTAAAAGTTTTAGCTACAAGATAAATCTGCTCTAAACTCTGCTAAGTAGAAAGCAGTCACTGAGTACTCCACTAAATAGCTAAGTGAATGACTAAAGTGATAACTGTTAATTAAAGCCATTGTATAAGCTACAGTGCACTGGATTCTGAAACTATATAGGCCAGTTTGTTTCATGTAGATTTGCCACGGTATGTGGCCTGTGTACTGCCGAGGAAACAAAAGATCTATCCATAATATGTCATTTGACCTGGAGAAGCCCTTTCTTAGACTGAATTAGCTTCAATCATAGATTAAGCCACTCAGCTGTTATTTTGCAAAAGCATCTCCTCCTTTTTTGGGGGCACGATTTCCAGGTGGTTTTGAAATAAACACATTGTGAAATAATCCTAACAAAGGAGCAGGAACTGCTAACTGGCTGCTCAATCAGTCCTACTTTGATTATTCATTTTCAGCCACTGGTTCTGAAAAGCTGTCTTAACAGGAGGGACATAGCCCAGAGTCTTTGTGCTGCAAATTCTCACCATCATGTTAGAATCTACAAAATAGGTAGTCATCCAGCAAAATACCGTTTCTTTAAATTGTCTTGGTTTTGTGATTTTGTATTGCTTTAGATATAAAGTCATTTTCACCTGGATGGTATTTGGCAACTTTGTTCTTCTCTGTCATATGAATAAACAGTGAGTTATTTCAAAATTAGAAAGCACTTTTGGAGACCATCCCAGGTATAACATGTGGTTATAGTGAGCCAAAATCATCCCTTTGGATGGGCCAGCCTCACACTTCTCAATGTCAAGTGGCAGGAACCATTTCTATTGATCGGTCTCCCAGGCTGACCAACGGATAAAAAAACAGGCTGGAAATCACTGATCTCACAACGAGCCCTGCACAGATCAGAGAACTGACAGGAATAAGTACAAATGGGGAAGGATTAGCACCAGCTATGACAAGCATATGTGGGCTCATATGTGCCTCCGAGGTACACTAGGTGCTATTGCACGTGTCAGTTGTAAAGTATATATAAGAACAAAGTATATAACAACATGTCTTCAGAAAGCATTCCGTATGGCAGCAGCTTTACACCACAGGTAAGCATGATTTCCAGAAGGGATACTATCCCCTCTAAACCATAGCAGCTCTTTAAGATTATTGAGAGTGATATTTGATATTTTATTTCTTATTTCTCAAATATATCACCAGAAACATTTAATTTCTTTGGATAGGATCTGGACAAGTCCTGAGAGAATATTTCATGCCTCTTGTAGATGATGTTTAAGAAATTAAACAATGCCGGACATACCATATGAAATTTCCTGAACATGTTTAAAAAAAGGAGACTTGGCCTGGGAGATTCTATGTCCTTCAATACGTAAGGAAAACACTCCCATAAGGCCTGAAATCAGTGTCTGAAAATTTTATAGAAAATTAAGACACATTACCAATTAGAGTTTGTGTTACCATGGGAATGTTGATGAAAAGCTAAACTCCAACTAATTTGTTTTTTCTTAGCAAGGCAATTTAATTTTCTACTGATAAGCCAGAGGTGGTGCTGATATAAAATTATTTACTCTGAAACCTCTTTATCAGTCTTCAGTTTCAGAAATTTTTTATGCAATTAACATGGCCTTTAGGTTCAGTGCATTCAGGGAAGCAGATAAAGACATAAATGTTGAGGTTACTTTCAAGAAATGATGCCTCTTTAAGTAAAAACAAAGCATGAGGAGTACTGTATTATGAAATAAAATCTTACGTATTATCTAACAGTTATGTAACTATCAAATTTCTTTCGTTTGGTCTATTGACAGGAATTCCTGTGTAGTGTCTCGCTTGACGAAAGTGCAGTACAAATAAAGTGCTGTTTCCACTAAATTTTATACTTTTCTCTAATTTATTATGGACCTTAGAACTGGAGTAATTTCTATATGTTTGTGGGCTGATGTCATACATAGCTATGGTTATAATTCTTTGGTCAAACCAGTACAAAATATGCCACACTCCAACTTTTAAAATTTAAAATTCAAAATTAATTTTCCAATTGTAAAACTAAAGAATAGTTTTATTCTGTTAAATAACTTAGTAGAAAATTTCACTCTAGATAAAATATGGTAAATTATAATATGATAATCTAAGTGTAAATGAAGAAGGTCAGTACAATATCTATTGTATTAGGTAGTCATTGCATTCTGTTTTTACAGTGTTGTTCATGTACTTCACAAATATATCTACTGCCCAGACTACTGACTGTCTGCAATTGAGGGAGCAATGTATAAATGCTGCAAATGGATGTGAGAGTGTCTGGAAAGTTGTTGAAGATGTCTGCAATATTTCAGGTAATTCTTTATTTTGAATTGATGAATGGTTGCATATTCTTAGTTTATCTTAATATTGCTGTGGTAACTAGATGAAGTCAGATTTCAAAGACAAAATGACAGCAAAGAGCAGTCAACTTCTGAAATCCTTGACAGTGGCCAATATTATTTTCAGTAAAAGCCATACTATCTCTTCAATAGGGCAATAAATGAAATTTCTGGACTATGAACAAAGTCAGAGTCTGAACAAATTCAAGAATTCAGTGGAAATTATGCTCTCATGGGGTCCTGTTAAAGAAAGCCAGCATGCAGCTGGAAAAAAATGCCAACCTTCCTTTCCATAATTTGGAGTTGATCTGTCTCTTCCTGGGTGTGTTCAAGGTCATGTTGGATGGAGCTTTGGGGACCCTGATCTAGTGGGAGAGAGGTATCCCTGCCCATGGCAGTATGGGTGGGCACTAGATGATCTTTAAGGTCCCTTTCAGCCCAAACAATTCTATGCATCTGTGATTTATCATAGAATCATAGAACAATTCAGGTTGGAAAAGACTCTTGGGATCATCTCACACAATATCCAAAACAAGGTAGTATTTACTTAATTTTCAAATATTGTATTAGAATAAGAAATAAATCAAATAAAGCATACTTCAAAGAAAGTTGTGCTGTAGGGAGGCACATTGTATTTATTCAATGACTAGTACTTACATATCAGAGTGATTCACTTGCAGGAAGTGATGTATGATAAAGTGCAGGTTACAATGTGACTAAGCCTCCTTGAATAATTTAACAGATTCTCACATAAATGAAAGCAGAAAATTAGTCTCTGTTTGTTGTACTTCCAACATTTGGTGTATCATTTCCAAGCAAAGTTTATTTTTAAGTGAGAGAAGACCAGATTTGACCTGCAATTCATCCTCATCTCGGTTGTTGTTCAGATGAAATTGTTCCTTTCTCCTGAGACCTATTATCTTCTTGAACAAATCTTGGCTCTGAGTCACCATCCTTCTCTTTCTTTAAATCCATCCAAGACCAAGACCTTGCTGTTAAATTTTGAGTATTCACTTGCCAGGTGCTGTGAATATGGAAAGGAGAAGAAGACTGGTAATGTCATTAGACCAATCTAGTAATGATGCCTTGGTTGACTGATAAATGTCAAGGGCCTTGATATGCCAAGGATACATCAGTACTAGCAAATAAAATGGTCCAGGGACTATATTCTGGCCATGAGTGCAACTGTCATGAAGCAGCATGCATCTATACTAGTCCTACCCCCTGCATTTTGGAGGTAACTCCACGTTCATGTGATCTTCACAGTCTAGCTGGCTTGGTCCAGACCAGGTACCAAGCAAAAGTGCAGGACTATAGACAGTCACTTGCCACTAGCTTAGCCCATGGCTTGTTTCTGTTCATACATGCAGCAAAGGATATTTAGGTATATAACTGTCATTTCTAGCAGCCTAATTACATAAGGCAGGTTCTCCGTCACTGGGAATCAGAGGTATATGTATTTCCATGGAAACCTCCCTTCTCCTTATATTGACTTTATTTGAACAAAACCAGTCATGTCCTGATGTCATAATCTGTTCTGAGGCTCAGCTGCAACAGAGTTGATAAAGTGAACGTCTGTCAGCCTTCACATCAGGTCCCAGTCTCATGTTTGATCTATGTGGGAAGCCAGGCAGCAGAAGATGCTGCCTCACTTCATCCTCAATAGCCTATTGCAAGAACATTCACCTGCAGTGTTAGCTACCGGAATACCTCTGCCTGAATCATTGCAGAACCCAAGTGTATCAAGTCCCAGGGCAGTAGTCAAAATAATTAGAGCAGAGAATTCTCTGAGGGGTCCTTCTTAGTGTGTCCAGTTCCAAATATGTATCTACTTTGGATAGAGTGGCTGAATACTTTTAAGAACAGAGTGAATAAAAAATACATGATAACCTAATGGTTACTACAGTCCCCAAAGGAACTGGGTTTCAGCTCATGTTCAACTGAGTTTTTAAATATTTTATGTGAAGCGGAGCAGTTTCAAAAGATATGATTGCCATTTCAAAAGAAGTATTGAAATATGCAGTACTTTCAGGCTCAAGATAGCGACCTAAGTATGGGCTCTCTAGAATCAAACCTCTTCCCCAAATCAGAAGAGATTGAATTTGCTTCTCTCACATCATTCACAAAGGTGTTAGGACCAAGACTACCTGACACAAAGATCAGGATTCGTTCTGTAACCTATTCTTCACCATACCCTGCAATCAGATGAAGTGGACCAGCATACTGACTTCTGTGGTCTCCCCTTTGGATTTGTCACATTGTCTTGTAGTATGTGATTTCTCTCACTTACTGTCCTATGTGTCATTCACTGATAGTAAAAACACTTGTAACTGGGTCAGAGAGACCTTCTGCAAATAAACTTTTGTGATTTCTTGTTTAGTTTTGCATCTGCATATTTCCTTAGGATAATAGCCTTTGGCAAGGACTCTCCAGCATTTCAGGGCACTCGGATAGTGCATTTGGTCTAGGAAAGATTATTCTAAATGTGGTTATTGGGTACCATGACCCCAAAGAGTGTAAACCCATAGTCAGAAAGTTGATGGTACCTCTCAGAGAGCCCACAGAAACAGCAACAGAAAAACTACCAGCAGCATTATTAGTAAGAGTAATGTTATACTATCTGTCAAGAGTACTCTACATGTATGAGACTAGAAACTTCACGGATGAGCTGCATGAGTTCAAAGGCTGAGCAGCAGCATATTAGTTGGAGGAAACAAGCCATGGGGCAAATACTCCTTTTGCCAGCTTCTTCATGAAAAAACTAACTACAAATGATAATTATACTTCTGCTCTGTGGTATGAGATCAATAATTCAATCCCTCAGGCTGCAATCTCCACGTTAAATGTGTGCATGATCAGGACCTCCATCCTTGGTTCTTCAAACTCCGTCTGGTGGCAATCTCCAAATAACTGCGTTGCATTACTTAGTGAGAAAGGAGAAAGGGAAAGAAAAAGAGAGGAGGAGGGAAGAGAGAGGGGGAAAGAGAGACAGAGACAACTGGTTGGGGTTCCTGCATTGGTCCTGCCAATGAGGGTTCAAGAATACCATCATCTTTACTTCTCCTCCTGCACTTCTTTCTCTCCTTTTTCTTTTTTTCTTTTTTTCTTTTATTCTTTTTTCTTTTCTTCTTTGTCTTCTTTGTCTTCTTTTTCTTCTTTTTCTTTTTTTCTTCTTTTTCTTCTTTTTCTTCTTTTTCTTCTTTTTCTTCTTTTTTTTTTTCTTCTTTTTCTTCTTTTTCTTCTTCTTCTTCTTCTTCTTCTTCTTCTTCTTCTTCTTCTTCTTCTTCTTCATGCAGACATGCTGTGTGTCAGGTAGAGGGACAACATCCTTCATTGTTTTCAATAATCTTCATTAGCATATGTGATTGCCCTATCTCCATGGGAGATATGTTATGACACAAGGCCATCCTCCCTTCACAAGGTTCTTGATCTCATTCATATTTGGGCCAGGGCTGTTTGAGGCATCTGTTTCCTGCTTCCCTCTACCACATTCCATTTGCCACTTATCAGTTTGCTGCACAGGGCCAGAAACTGGTCTTGGATTTCTCCAAGAAGTGTTTAAGGCCACCATTCACACATCTGTCTGCTACACCACCCCTGGAGGTGTTTAAGAGATGGGTAGATGTTGTGCTGAGGGCCATAGTTTAGTGGTGCTGATAGGGCTAGGGAAAAGGTTGGACCTGATGATCTTGAAGATCTCTTCCAAATGAAACTGTTCTATGATTCTGTGATTCTATATACTTTCTTAATTTTTCAGACTTGGAAGCACCAGGGTTAAAAAAAATCTCAGTTCACTTAAATATTAAGGAATTACATTTTGAATTAGATTTGGAAGAGTTTATTTTTCTTAGAACAGAACCAATGAGGTTGGAAGGGACATCTGGAGATCTAGTCCAAACCTTCTGCTCAGGTGGTGTCAGCTGCAGACAGTCTTTCAGGACTGTGTCCAGTTGGATTTTTAATAACTACAGTGACAGAGGCACCAATGACCCTTCTGGGCAACCTCATTCCCTGTTAGATGATCCTTATAGTTAAAAGTTTTTTTCTGATCTTTAAATAGAATTTCATGTACTTCAGTTTGTACCTCTTGTCCTGTCACTGGGTACCATTGTGGAGTCTGTCCATACCTTACTCACTCCACTCCAATCAGGTATTTATACACATGGATATGTGTACTGGTACACCCCTGTGCCTTCTCTGCACCAGGCTGAGCAATCCCACCTCTCTCAGCCTCTCCTCATAGGACAGATGCATTAGTCACATGTGGCATTTTGCAAGAGGCACTCCAGCATGCCCATGTCGCTCCTGTCCTCAGGAGCCCAGCACTGGACACAGTATGCCAGATGTGGTCTCACCAGTGCTAGAGAATAAAACTCAGTGCTTTCCTCTGCAGTCTTTAGATGCAGTTCCCATTGAGATGACAAGAGTTGACTGTGCAAGAACAGAGATTATCACTCTGGAAGGGCCAGCTTCTACTCTGTCATACTTCTGTCTCTGGTCCCACGTGTGTAAATTATGTACATACAAATAAATTGAACTATGAACGATAGCTGCCGAGCATTAGGTCAGAGAGTATTTTTTCTAAATGCCTTGAAAGCACATGTTTAAGCTAAAATATATTAACTAGAACTAATAAATGACAAAGCACCAATAATTGAAATCCAGCAATAAAATATTTTCTGCTCTTCATCACAGCTGAATCAACACAGTGCACAAACACACCAATACTGATAATAGGTTATTTCTACACAGCTTTCAAGAAGCCAGGCAACAGAACCCCATAAATCTGATGTGCTTCCTGATTCTATCTATGGCCTTTGTATGTTCATAGTCCCACAACCTGTCTCTCACCCCCTGGCTGTCAGCTGCTGTGATTCAGTGCTGTGTGTTCACCATGCACAGGGCCACCCTGAATATAGCCTCACTACCTGACTCCTAACCAGAACTTGATAGTGCCATGAAGACAGACGAGCTAAGCGAGGCTGGGGTGCTGTATAAAATATAGTGGGATTTCTGTTTCTTATTCTTTTATCTCTACTACCTCCACATTTGAAGTCTCCTCAGGATCTTGAAGAAGGCAGTCATAAATTTTGTAAATTATTTATTTTTTTACATAAAAAATTTTTTTACACATTCTCCTGATCTTTGTTGCTCTTTTCCTACCCCTGCAATTTGTCCTTCTGAAATTGTCTCCTGAAATACCTTCATTAGCTCTTATTCACTGGATAAAATATAGAGCATATATTATCTATAGCATATCTAATCTAAATCTATCTTTTTTCAGTTTGAAGCCATTACTCCTCATCCTATTGCTTCACTCCCTCATAAAGAGTCCTTCCCCTTCCTCCTTATAGGCCCCTTTTAAGTACTGGAAGGCCGCTATAAGGTCTCTCCAGAGCCTTCTCTTCTCCAGGCTGAACAAACCCAACCCTCTCAGCCTGTCCTCACAGGGAGGTGCTCCAACACCTTGATCATCGTTGTGCAATATTGTACCCACAACTTTATTATATCACTCTGAATATTATTTAAAATTTGTAAATCATCACAAATTTTCAAACAAAACCAAGTTCAAACCATCTTCTCTTGGTAAAACATATTATTTTTGTGCTTCAATTGAATTGTTTTATGTAATCATATCCCTTAATGATTCATAAACATTAACAACATTATAATTTTAATGGTGAGTTCTAGGTAATAGGTGCAAGGCAGAAGACAATATTGGATGTAATAGAATCATCCAGATCCTGGCCGATGAATACCCAGAATTTAGAAACTGTGTCTGTACTACAGATGATTTCTGTAGCATCACAACTTTTCTTGGGAAACAGTGCAGCATTAATAAAGGTAACTAAACATAGCATTTTAATCATAAAGAGCAAAAGGAAATATATAATTTTGTAACCCTTGTTTTAAACGGATGCAAGTTTCTTTTCATATTTCTCGAATCTGATGATTTCCCACCAAAAATAATTTTATCTTTATGATGTGCACTCCAACATGCATCCAAAATCAATGCCGTAACTACTTTTAAATAAATAAAACCAATAAAATGTGTGTAAGAAATTCATATGATTTCTAAAGCTCTTGCTTTAGTGAAAACACAATGTGTGATGAGGGCTCCTTGTTGCCCAAGGAGACTTGAGGGACACTGGATCTACGTTATGTATAGAGCCACATCCAACCACTTTGTGAGTTGCAGTGAGAGTGATTTGGGTTGTGCAGTTGTGTCACACTGTGTTATGGGAACATCTCCACTAAATCTGGGAGAGGTTACTGCATGTGGGAAACACAATTACTGTCTTCATCAAGCAGCAGTTTATATATAAAGCACATCTTTTTAAAATTCCATTGCAATCAGTGGGCCAAGCTCCTTTACATTTATGTTTTAATATCCTGAGAACTCATTCCCTTCAGAAAGCCTACTTCTATAGTTGAGAATTACTGCTCGGAAGGCTTGCAGTTTCTGGTCCAAAGTCTCCTGGATTAATGATTAGCAAAGCTGACATAAGTGAGTTAAATTCAGCCAGTGAATGAGAGTCTGGAAAGTAAGCCCCAAGGTTGATGCCTGGCACTGACCCATCACTCCCCAATGGCATCAATCAGCATAGGTCATATAGTAGTATAATATAGGGCTTCACTGCAGAGGAAATAATAACATCCTGATCTCTCACTTCTTGCCCCAAGCCAGAGAGTGGGTATCTAAAACCTGATGTTAATGTCATTGGAACAGTTGCTTTTGCTTCTAGCAAAGTATTTTATACTTTTTTACTCATTGAGATTTCATTTATCACCAGTACAGCAAAAAGCTTGGATGGAGTTACACTAGTATCAGTTTTACCTACAGGTGATAGCTTATCATGTTGGTAGGTACTTTCAGGAGTAATTCTTCCTGTCTAGCATAGATAACTATTTTAGGTAATGAATAAACCATCTTCTGGAATTTCCACTCTCTCTTTACAAATTATGCATTGAATTAATATGGCAATCCATGATATACTCAATCTATAGGTGGTTAAAATTATGTGAAATGAATTCCTTTATGCACAAATTTTAGTCAAGGTTTTTCATATTACTGTTAGCAGCTGAACTGTTAAAATAAACTGCACTATACAGCTATCACAACACAGTAAGCATGAGGAAGATTCATTAGTCTGCAAGACTCTGAGAGTATTATGTATTTAGATACAGCTCAGAGGGAAACTAGGGCTGTTGCATTAATTTTATTGCATTAAGACAATTATCTTTGTTTGAGTCTCTTTTGAGCTGACCGGTGATGACATTCAATCTTCTGTTTGAATTATATTTATGTTTGGATCTATCTGTACAGAGAATTTGGAAACTTCCTCAAGATCAGGTACTGAATTGAGTTTTAGGCAACAGAGAAACCCCGAAGACCAAAGACACCCAGAAGAATCAGAGACCAACTGCAATATTGCAAAACAACGCTGTCAAGAAGACCCTTACTGCTTTTTAGTGTATAAGAACTTCCAGAGAGCATGTCAGGGGGACGCAGCCAAATGCAGGCTCCTGACGGTCAACCAGGAATGTTTGTCAGTGTGGAGAGAACTGAGGAGAACAGTGCTGGGAGAGTGCAAGTGCTCAGAACCACTTCAGATGAGATGCGTTAAGATATGGAAGGGAATATTTAAGAACTCATGTTTACAACAATCTCAAGAGAGCCAAGCTTCAGCAGCTGGCAAAAATGATGATGAAGATGACAATGATGGTGATGATGTTGATGATGAGAACAATCAGGACACTGACACAGGTTAGAGATAGTCCAGCAGTCTGAATGCTTTCATACATAACAGTAATTTGTGCAAGTCTGTCAAAAAGGTTTTCTTAATCATTTGCAATTTTAAGAGGCTTATTTAGATGCAAATGAACAGTCTGATAAGAAAATGATAGTCTGTGTGCAAATATTGTTGTCCTTCAGTATGTTAATTTGATACAACCTGATTCAAATCAGCCTCTTTTAGTATTACACTATAACTAGAAACAGCATAAGACCAATAATAACAATTTTCCAATAGCAAAAGTTGTCTGCCTGCCTTGACTTCAGATCATGATAAGCAGTTATTTGAGCTTGAAAACCGGGTGCACTGATGAACACATTAAGGCCTTTATTTATTCATAAGAAATCTGACTTTATACTGCACTGAACAGCTCTAAAAACTCTTCCTGAGCTCACAGGATCCATAATTATGTAGATAATGTTATCAGCAGAAATTGATAAACTGTGCTTTCACCCCAAATCTTATGAATATATGTAACAGTGATTTCAGAGTTTGTTAACGAGCTGCCACGTCCTATTTGGTCAAGTTAATTTGTTTTATTCTTGTTTATTTTTACTAGTGGCACTATGCCAGCAACACAGTCAATTCTTTAAAGTCAAAAACTAGGCTAAGACTTGATTTACCTCTTATGCCTGTATCTGTATCTTTTTGTTCTAGACAGTATAAATATAGAAACAAAATTACAATGGAGTTTATCTGCTCTCTCCAGACAAGGTAAGTTTGAGTTTATTTATGAATCCTAATAACTGTTTCTAGCTCTGTTTTCAGATAGTATACAATATATCTGGAGATTAGAAAGATAATTTCCCATTAAAATTACTGAACAGTAGGGTGTCAATAGACCAAACATATTTTCAGTTAAGCTATTGGCTAGATAAGAATCCAAAAATGCCACTTAACAATTTCGATCCTGTTAAATTTACAGAGGCAAACCTTATCCCATAAACATTTTAGAGTCAGAATTATTTAGATTTTTTGGAAGGTTTATAGCATAAGCTAGAAATTCCTAAACTAACTTTAAAAGCACAGAAATGCCATTTATTTTCTCTTCTACATTACTTATTGTGTAGCCTAGCATAAAAATGCATGCTGGCCATTTCAGCAGTTTCAGGTATCCACTAGCCACTAGCTTCCAGAAACTCTTACACACCATGAAGATATTTCCATCTTTCCAGTTTTCATCTTCTTCTCTGTTATTTATTTGGCAGCAGAAGAAACTTGCAGGAGGGTTGCTTATGAGGGCCAAGCATCTGAAGATCACACAATGGGCTTAAAAGAGGCAAATCTAGAAGAGCTGGATCAGAGTTTTTGAAAGTCAAACTTGTTTTTAATGGGAATGTTGCAGGCAGGATGACTACCAATCATCACTTTGAGAGAGGTTTTTTTTAAAAAAACCCTGTTATTCTTTTTAGCATACACAGTAAACAGAACCTGTTTGGATGTCAACAAGGAGTGTGTTGAAGATGAAGTATGTAACAAACAGTTGTCCCTGTACCTTAAGGTTTGCTCATTAAATAAGAAGTGTAACATGGAAGAATGTCAAGCAGCCATAAGGTTCTTCTATCAAAATATGCCTTCTGAAGTTGCCCAAATTATGACGTTTTGTGATTGCATCCCGTTTGATGAATCCTGCCACAGAGCCAAAGACCTTCTCCATGGCAAGCCGTGTGCAGTTACTGCAGTTCCACTCCCATCATGTCTGAATGTGATCCACAGGTGTGAAGAGGATGAGTCATGCAGGTAAGTAGAAGATTTTGCCTATCGATATGCCTGTGGCTAAGGACTGATAAAATGTGTTTTATATACATGCCATATATCTCATCTATAGCCAAAGTTTTTAATGCACTGTATGTATCCTATATTATCACTAAGTATTGTATATTATCGGTTGTGTCTGATGTCTTCACAGATGTCTGCATCAGCTGTGGTAATTCCACAAGTAAACTGAAAAGGTTCATTTTCAGAAAGGTCTAGAATCTATTGTGAGCTTTACTTCTACCTCTTACTTGACTTTTAACACTATTTCTGCTGGACAAACTATGCCATTATGTACTTTCATTACCACTTTTTTCCAATAATGCCTGCCAGGCTGAACCTTTGCCCTCCAACAGTTTGCACAAATTGTACAGCAGACTTGACAAAGTTTGTTTGGTTAAAGTAATTACTTCTTCCATCACAGAGTGTGACCCATGCAACCAACTTGGCTTGTTCAGAAACTGTTGTATTATTCTTTTCACCTCAAGCATACTGATACTTGAAAAAAGTTGCCCTTGAAATATGCACAGACCACCAAACTCATGAAGAATAATGCAGTTTTCAGATTTTATTGTATTTTAGGAAACATGCAACAGAATTAGCCCACATTTGTAGTTCTACTTAAGTGCCACCATTTGTTCATGGTCAGTTGGCTCATTTTGGATTTCAGTCCAGTCATCCGTTCCTTTATGGATTAGATCTGAATTTTACCTCAAAACTACGCTCAGATTAACCTTCAGTCAACAAACCAGGAGGCTGAGAGATGCTTTTAGTTCAGTGTTAGGCTATTTGGACTGATGTCAGTGGGAACTGCCCCTTTTTATGTCAAAAGGAGTTGGGCTACAAGTGTATGTCTGTGCATGTGTCCACATGTAACATAATGGAGACTTGCTGAATTACCCATTATTTTGGGAACATTAATGTTCCCTGGCACTGACAATCAGTGAATATAATTAGCAAAATGAGACTGTGAATTATGGTTAGCCATATCTATAAATCAGGAGGTGAATAAAAATAATTCCATTAGCACAGAGGTGGCATCTGCTTTGAAACCTTTGTTTCTGTAATGAAAATATTTACAATAATGTCCTAGATGATATTATAATAGCCCATGTTTTTCCATGTGACTTGCTTGTTACTGGGACTAGATGACATTTAAAGGTCCCTTAGAGCCCAACGCATCCTGTGATTCCACAGCTACACCATATCAATGGTAAATTAATAGCCTAATTTTATAATTAAGGAAATGTTTTAATATATTAACGTACAATATACAACAGTTTACCTTTATTGTCCCCTAACATTTAAAGTAAGTGATGCATTGATTTCTAATTAATATCTACAGATTTCTTAGTTAACTTTGAGTAGATGTTTTCTATTGTCATACATGGTGCATTAAAGGCCAATTTTATTTTATCCTAAGAGCAAATAAACTGAAATCATTTGAGATTATTGAGCTGGGAAACAAGTTAATTCTCATAACTTACCTCTGCTCTCTATTGATCTTTAAATTCAACAGAATTACTTCCAATTTTTCCCGAGCCTTGGACATTTTGTATTTTGTTAGCATTCCTTCAGGGAGGAAGGGTTGGCACTGAGAGTACATTATTTTATGTAAAGTAAGTTGAATATTCATTCTCCCTTCATGCTGCCCAACAAAATAATCCACTAGAACAGCACTTGGTTTGGTTTTGTTGTGATGACTGGTCAAATTCCTCTATCTGCATTTCTCCCCTGAGGATCTGAAACTGTTGGTATTCACACTGATTTTTTGCTAGACCCTGGGAAAATCTCCACAGGTGCTGATTAGAAGTGCTTTTTCTTAAAACCTTTTTCAGTAAACCCAAGTTTTCCCTTAAATTACAGTTTTGCAGATTTCACTCAAACCAATTAGGTGCAAAACAGAGCAGATTTTAGGCCAGTTATCACCAAACACTGTGATTTTTAAGACTTAAGCAGTACCATATGAATACACTTTCCTTTCATGATGACTCTTAGAAGTCATTTTATGAAAGCACGGAGTTTTTAAGCTGTCGTTGTATACTTCTTCTTTCCCCATCAGGAAAAAATACACAACATTTCGGTCAAAGTGTTGGAGACATGTGACCAAAAAATGTTACAGTGATGAAGCTTGTCTTGAAACTTTACTCAAGGATGACATGCCCTGTTCTGCAAACTCCGATTGCAAAGCAGCCTACATGAGCAACTGGGGCACGATGCTGCGCCTGGAGTGCACTTGCCGTGATTTACCTCCCGCAGAGCAGTCTTTGTGCAACCTCTTCCATCACATGCTTCACAGCAAAACCTGCTTCAGCAAGTTACGTGAGTAACACATAATACTTTAAAGAACAATTAAAGAGTGTTAAAATGCTGACCTTGCCATATCTTTGATAGCACTGATTTCAGCAAGATTTGTACCTTTTTCATTTTTATTCAAAATCAAATTTCTTCTCTGGTTTGGGGAAATATTGTATACTAGTGTTAAACCAATAAAATCAATGGCATGTCTCATTACATGAATTTGCTGGAATAACAATAAAAGAATAACTCCTGGGGCCTGTAATATCGTGCAGATCAGAAAAGTTCCAAAGCCTTCCTGTCATTGGCTTAATGTTGTACTTACAAATAATAGGATACATTATGCTGGGTTTTTTTCCTTTCCTTCCTGGAATCTAAATATTAGTGTAGCTTATACATACCCAGCAACAGACTTTATTGTTCAGAAAACAACTTCAATAATTTAAATGGAACCTCTCAAAGAGAAGTTCCTGTGAATGGAGGCTTCAGGATTTGGCCACCAGTAAAAACCCTGGGGTTAACTCAGATGTAGTATATGTACTTTCTCAGTACCAGTAAAGCTTTTTATGTGCTAAATCAGCTACTTATTTTTGTTAAAGATAAAAACCCTTGCCAAGTCTTTGTTTAAGAGAGAATTGTTGATGTGGTGAGTGGCAAGATGGGAGAAAATATTAATGTTTTAGTATGAATCAGGAGTGTGCCTTCGAAGAAAATCCCCTCTTTGTCCCCACTGCTGTGCTGTGGGTCACATCACAGGGTGGTTCCACATCACAGGTGGTTCCTGGACTCCTGTAGCCTTAAAACTGAACCTAAAGGTTTCTCTGCTCCCTGTGCAATGCTCCAGCTACATCCAGGTATCCAGTTCATGGACCAGATTAAAGACCAAAGTACCCTCTTGTCCCCAGATCTCTGATCTATCACACCAGCTATTTTGCTCTATAAAACCTCTTAGGGTACTTGCTAGTGCATCATACCCTATGCCAGTCATCTTCTATGCATAGTTATAGATATTCTCAGCCTAGTTTAGGAGAGGCAACTGTGTCTAAAGGTTTCAGTGAAAAACAATGACTGTTACACTGTTCCATTTTATGGACTGTCTTTTAAGAATAAGCACTAATTGCCTGCATGCATGTTCTTTTTTTATTTTTAGCAGCCAAAATATTGCCACTGATTAGGGTGCAATTTTTTCTTGTCATTCAAAATCTACCCGGAAATTAAAATCAAGTTGCTGAAGCATTGTTCTTAGGCTTGGTTATTCACTACTAAAATTCAGAATCTGAGAAAAATTTTAAAATCACATGCCAACTGCCCTAGAAAAGTGATCCCGTAACACTCTTAGATTTGAGACTGCGCTGGTGGTGTTTTGCTGATGAGCATTATTTGTTTGCTTTACGGCTGCATCTAATGGTCCAAGTGAGTGATCACATCATTGTGTTACTTATTCTTTACCTATAAAGCAAAACGATGACACTCATGTCATAGTAATCAAATAATTGCTCATCAGCTTTTGCCGTTCCCTGAAGCAGTTTCAGGATTAAATGTGGGGGTTTTGTGATGGAAACTTCCTTAACCTAATTGGGATTGCAGAAGCTTGCTTGCTGCTGTGGTGAAGTGAATTCCTGCTAGTTAAACAAGAGCAGTTTTGGGATCTAGGGCCTTTGGCTGAGTAAAGCATCAGTAGTGACTCTACAGAACTTTTGCAGAGTCTTGTGGCTCTTGTTTTTGTTTTTTTGTAGATGCTAGCTGTAATGCAGCTAAACTGAAGGGAGAGACAATTATGGGTTTGATTGTAAAGCACAGTGTTAAATTCCATTATCTGCATGGCAGATCAGAGAGTGGAGTGAGCACTCTGTTGCAGACCTCATCCAATGCCTCCTGCAAACCTATTCATCTGGATTTTGGATACGGACTTTCACTTTTCCAGTGGTGATGACTTCTACCGCTGAAGTCTTTCTGAACAGGCAAATACTCAGTCTAGAAAAAGGCATCTTTGCCTCTAGATCTGGTGTGAGCCAACATGCAAGTGGTGTCTACACCATCACACCTTCCTACTCTTGTATGGCACTGCCTTGCTACAAATATTTGCCCTTGGGGCTGTGTTCACAGGGGCTGTGTTCACAGGCTGTGGGCTCAGCACAAGGCAAGAACTGTAACTGACTGCTCTCTGAGACATAAGCAGTGGATCAGTGCCAGTGTAGGATCAGTGTCGCCCCATGAATAAGCAAAAATGCCAGAGACAAAAAGTAAAAAAATGTTTCCAAAATATTTTACCTCTGGATTGTGCTTTTGGATTTCATAGAAACACTATACTGCAAGAAGACTTAGGCCATTGCTAATTAGACAACATTCCAGGCTGCAAACATGAGTCTTTGTCATATTGTTTTCATTCTTTTAGGGAATAAAAATTTTTCATCTTACAGCTCATGTGAGTGACCATGCATATTCTTGCATGGTTTAGCCTCTGTAAACTGTTCTATTTAGGCATACCTTTTATTTGTCATTTCAACAGAAGATATATATTTTCAGATACCTTAATGAAATTATGCCCACAAAGAACAAACGCCTCTGTGAAAGAGTTAAGTTCTAGCAATTCATTTGGAGAATAACCTTTTCTTTTTGGAAATGATTTCAAACTGCTAACCCATTTCTCAGCTCTTTATTGATTTGATGGGCCCACTTCTTTTGGTGGGCTTATTTCTAAAATTGTTCCTGTGAAAAGAGAATTTAAACTGTTTTGAGGCAGGGAGTATGTTTAAAGCACACTTGCCCCCACATAAGACGAACTACTGAGATGTCAAAGGAAGAACTTTCATTCACTTTGTTCATTGAGTATCAGTAAAAAATATTGTTAGATAACTGTCTTTATAATTTCTGTGACTCTTATCAAAACACCTAAAAGTAATATTCACTTAAAAATATTTTTAATGGATATTTTCTGTCTAATATTCAGGTCAATTTTCCATTAAGGAGAAAGGTTTTCATTGGGTTAATACAGAAATACCAGGACAAAAGCTTTCCAGAGCAGAGCTCCAATCTTCTTCAGTTAATGGTGAGTTTGGGCAAATCACTCCATGATTTTAATAGAAATACTCCTGAGATTTCCCACATGTATGATGGGGAAGACTAAAGGTTGGGTCCCTTGGTTGGGTTCAGGCAAGCGAGTTCTACCTGTTGCTCGTCTATTTAATATAATGTGGAAATCTCTCTACCTCTTTGGCTTAGCTTATGTAACCACAAAATAAAGATAATGAGACTGAACCAATTTCTCTGATAAGTGGTTTTGAAATAGATGTCTCACAATCACTATATTATAATTGGGAAAAATTAAGCTATTAAGCCCACTAGAGCCTGACTCTCTGTACAGTCATTAGAGAGTAGTAGTCATAATGTGTAATACAAATTATTAGCTTTGATGTCACATCTACTCCTTTCCTATCTCTCTTGACTTTTTGTGCTACAGTAGTTACAACAACAAAATCAGGAAGCCTCAATAAGTGGTCTGAGAAGGGGCTTGGGTTACACTTCATCAGACTTTACCTTCTCATGCACACAATTGCGGATCGTGATATCCCATGGGCTTGAAGAGATGCATCTGGTTTTATTCTCATGCATTTACAAAAGCAATTAAGTGACATGAAGTTTAAGTATACTAATAAAAAAAAATCACGGTTGAAATAATAGTAATTTTATATTTCCTTTTGAAGGAAATTTTCAGAGAGTTAAAATACTAAAGACCTTAATACATAATTACCAACTCTAACAAGAATGACCTGTTCTACCTTGCATGGGGCAGATTACAATAGTCCAGACATTACTATGAATTAGTTCTCAGAACTGTTCATATTGAACACCTTTAACACAGAAAAACTAATTCAAGCTCTGCATGCACTACAATATCAAGGGGTTTCTATCATCTCCATCATTGAACTATTGCTGAAGTGGGCAACCTGGAAAGTAAAAAAAATAAAATAAAGGGAATGGAATTTCTGGCACCTGTATGTGAATAATCAAGCATTCAGCTGTAATTTTAGCATTAACATTACTTACCTAAGATTCATACACAATATCTCAGTGCTCTGTGTGGCCAAAAAAGAAAGTCAGAGGCCCTCAGAGGAAGGTTAATCCCACATTTTCAGACTCCCTTGCTGTGTTCTGGAAGTGTTGACTTCTCTTTGCCAGCCACAGGGGCAGCCTGAATCTTTAGCTGGAACGAGACTGTAGTGGTTATAATGCAAGAAATCCTGTTCTTAGTGAGAAAATGTAAAATGTGAGATACTTCACCCCTGTGACTAATTCTAACTGTAGATCTTTCCCTCAGAGATTCCCATAAATATTTGCAAAGTGCAGCCTGCACCCAGTTAATTCTGTTCCCACTGACATCTGAATACTTTCCAAAAACCTGTCCTTGAACTCTTAACAGAATTCTGGATTGCCTTAGAAAAACAAAAAGAATGCTGATCAGCCTAAACCATACAATAAAATATTCCTTCTATTGAAACTGTCATGTATGTTAGCTGGGAACTCTCTAAGCTATAAATGTCTCATAGGAAGCCAGGTCGAGGAGAAGAATCTGATTCAGGATATCTACCTGATGATAAAAACCATATTGCAAATTGTTTCATAAATCCCACTGCCAAAAATCTAACCCGCTATCCTAGATTGATATGCTAGTAAATGTGCATTACTCAGGCTGCAAAGGGAGTTATCGTCTTTACAAAATATTTATCTTTACTGAAATCAAATCCCAAGAAGGATCCCAGTGCACAGAGGCAAAACAGTTAAATTGTCAAATACGGTCTTTTGTGCGTGTAAAGATATTTGTTTCTTGGCTATTTTCTGCTTGGAAAGCAGGAGACACAATTTGCTGATGTCTTGTGCCTACATTAGAATCTCAGAAGAGACCTTTACTTAGCTTGTCATTGAAAGATACAAGGAGATCTTCCACTAATTCAAACTAGTGATTGTCTACATACGAATACACTCAGAAGAAACTCGGTATTTCTTCAACCGTTTCTTGATTTTATAGTTTAAAAAAAAAAAACACAACAAACCAAAAAAAAACCTTAAAAAACCTCAAAAACCAGTAAGATTTCTCCATTTTGTTCAATGGCACTGCAAATCATGCTATTGGACAAGATAGATTTTAATTAAATAAAAATAAAACTAAACATACCTAAGTATTGTCATATATGTATTTGCAAATAAATATAACCCTGTTCAGTAGGAAGAATATTACACTAGCTTTTAGTGTGTTAACAGGATTGTTTAAAAATCTTGACTGGATTTATACTCATTCACATACCCAGGAGGGTACTGGCCAATCCAGGCTGATACAACCCTGTTAACACAATGTGGTGTGGGTAGAGTCCTAAACATATAAAAGTTAATGAAAGCTTAGATGGGGCCAGAATTTTATGTCATTTTGGAAAGAACATCAAAAAGTGATAAATCAAAGAAAAGTTCTCCAAACTTGAAAAATATTGTTATTGCCTGTCTAGTTATGCACTTTCAGCCTTGTTTCAACTTCATATTACACGAATTATCTTCATGATTTTACAGATTCACATAATTCAAAAGATTGCTTCCCACACTTTAATTTGAAAAATGATTCATGTGTGAAGATAAGCATTTACTTTCAACGGCATAGACCTTTGGAGTTAAAAGTATTTTTTGGCTGGAAGAAAAAAAAGGAAGTACAGAACGCTTATCGTGTTCTTGTGAAATACAATATAATTGGGCTTGACCCAAAACTGTTGAAATTAATCTCATTTCATCTTAAATTGTAGTCATCATGCATTTCCTACTGAGAAGCTTTGCCGTGCTGAGAATCTAGATAAACAAGTAATTGGCAGGGTTTATCTATAATTATACCAGCTGCTGTGGGAACTGAGATTAGTTCAGCTCCAGCAACTTTAATTTGTAAGGTATGAAACATTGTCAATCTGTTTCATAAACGTAGAAAAAAAAGCCTATGACAAGCTGTGGGTTAGCCAAGAAACCCCTAAACACCAGTCAGAATTAACCTGACAATGAATATTCACAGCCATTTCACTAGGTATACATAAACAGGTAGATTTACACAAGAGTGCAATCTCATTAATTGTTCCAACTGCCAAGCCCACAGCGAACCTCGACCAAACCTCTTCTCTGGAAAGGTCATGAGTCTCTACAGAGAGCTCCAGCTAGTGCTTCAGCGGTACCTGCAGCCTCAGTTGTTTTATCCCTGAGGTTTTCAGCCCATCCTAGGAATGGCAAGACTTGCATCATGCAGCTGTGTTGGCCCTGCTATAGACCTGCCCTGAGGTGAGACGGTCCACATCTTCTCATGATGCTCATGATGTGTGGCCAGCAGGTCGAGGGAGGTGATTCTGCCCCTCCACTCCACTCTCATGAGACTCCACCTGTTGTACTGCATCCAGTTCTGGAGCCCACAGCACACGGAAGATAAGGACGTGCTGGAGCGTGTCCAGAGAAGGGCCACGAGGATGATGAGAGGGCTGGAGCACCTCTCCTACGAAGACAGAGAGAGTTGCGGCTGTTCAGTCTGCAGAAAAGAAGGCTCCGAGGAGACCATATTGTGGCCTTCCAGTATCTCAAGGGGGCTACAAGAAAGCTGGTGAGGGGTTTTGTAGGATGTCGGGTAGTGACAGGACTAGAGGGAATGGATTAAAGCTAGAGATGGATCGGTTCAGATTGGGCGTTAGGAAGAAGTTCTTCACTGTGAGGGTGGTAAGACACTGGCACAGGTTGCCCAGAGAGGTGGTGGAAGCCCCATCCCTGGAAGTTTTTAAGGCCAGGTTGGATGGGGCTCTGAGCAGCCTGATCTACTGGGGGACGACCCTGCCCATGGAACTAGATGATCTTTAGGGTCGCTGACAATTCTATGATTCTATGATTCTCATGATGACAGGCCACCTCCATGGGACATGG